ACTTTAAAAAAAAAACAAAAAACGAAGTTCCCCATCTTGTTCCGCTTCCCTTCTCGTGACAGAAGAAGCAAACGGTTAACGGCAAGACACAGAGACACAGAGGAGAGTGGGGTGGTGCTGGGGTTGGAATGTTCATCAACATCAAAGTGGGATTTTATTTTAAAAAACAAAACAAAGTCATAACAAGTACACAAGAAAAGATTTGATGTTATTGCTTTCATGCTGCTGTTGCACAGAGATTTCTAAGAGCACAAAAGTTTGTTTTTTGGGTGGGTGTCAGCAGGCGGAGAAGAAAGAGGGTGGTGGGCATGACGGAGTATGGGGGGCGTCTGCAGCTCACGTGCACACAGATGAAGTGAGAAACACGTCTTTCTGTCCCTTAGCCTGCTGCTGCTTTAAAGGTGCTTCTACAAACCCACAGAATGACTTCCATGAAATCTTATTCCTGCCAAATAAAGAGTCACTTTTGAATCTTTTTAATGATTAATACGATAGCTTTAACTACCTGTAGGCTTTAGGTCAGCTTCCTGCTTTCTGCACTTCAGCCTTTTATTTTGTATTTTCTCCTTAATTGTTTTGTCCTACAACAACGTTATGGTTCCTTTTTTTCTTTGTACCCACATAGAAGCTAGAGGCTGAACTGGCTTGGATTTAGTTGAGGGGGAGATGATGAGGGGGTTTGTTTGGGCTGAGGAGGGGGGAGTTCTGTGCCAGAGACCTGTGAATATGTTCCTTTTAAGCAGATGTGTAATTCAGAAGATGTATAAGTTCCATTTTCTTTTTTGTGCGTGTGAGCGTGCGTACACGAGTACCTGGTGCTGGCTATGCTTTAGCAAACACTTTAAGGTATTGTGTATTCTCTCATTGTAATATAATTAAAATGTTTTATACATAAAGCCGTGTGTGCTGGTGTCATCAGTGCTTTTTGGGGGAAGGTAGCAGATTAAAAACTGACGACCTACAGCTGAACAAAGCTGAAATGTAGGTAAAGACGTTGAAATGTTTCAGGGTTTCCTGTTTGGTTTACGCAGCTGTGAAACTGGAATATTGGGAGGGGGGTGTTTAAAGTTCAGAGTTCATCTTTTGTCAGCGTGACAGCGAAGAGACATTGGATGACGGCGTCAACAAACAGGCGCAAATAACTCGACAAACTTTTATTAAATCTCAGCTTATCACTGACGAGCTTCAAAACATGTCTAGCTTTTAAACTGAAAGTCCAGAGAGATTTATGGACATCTTACAGCACAAAATCCTAAAGACTTCTTAAAAATACATCACATGAATAATTTTTAATGATAAATAAAACAAAACAAATCCAGTCGATTGCATCCTGAAGGGGATGCAGTTGTTGAAAACAGTTTACAACAGGGGTGTCAAACATACAGCCCGGGGGCCAGAACCGGCCCACCAAAAGTGTCCAATCCGGCCCAGCAGATGGGTTTAGAATATTGCAAAGAAGAAAAACTTACATTTTTGACATTTCACTGCATTTTGGTCAGTTTTATTATTTTATTATTACTGACAAAAACATCACGCACAGCATAGCATAATACACCTAAACAAAAATAATAAAATTATTCTATAAAATTAACAGTAAAGACCTTATTTATTCATTTCATTTCATCCAGAATTTTAAGAAAAATTCTGTTATATTACAGAACAAAAAGACCCTTTTTCTGTTAATTTATGCTATTATTCCTTAACGTGAAAGCCAAACAGCCGTCGTTGTTTTTCATAATGCAGAACAACAAATATATTTAAAATTGCACTTCATGTTCATAACACATCATCGTTTAAGCGCGTAGTTAAACTTCTTTACACTGAATCTAAAGGGGAAACAATTGGCAGTGTGTTTTTAAGACTTTATTAGGCAGTACTGTAGTTTCACTGGTCCGACCAACTTAAGATAAAATCACTCTCTATGCTGCCACAACACAAAGAGTTTGACACCCCTGGTTTACAATAAAATAAACTTCAACAGTAAAGAAGATTTACTAAAGCTTTAAATTAGCTTTTTTCTTGTGATTATCCATGCATCAGTACAGACCTGCTGGCAGAAACATATATGCTTTCCAAACATAAGAACGATATTACAGCAGACGCTGTGTGCTGACACCTGTAACAGATATTCTCTGCAGTTTATTGCAGTCTCAAACCTGAAAAAATGAACCGTAAAGCATTTAAGTACAGTTAAGCATTCAACTACAGCTCTGATAACTCTAACCGATGAAGTTAAATTAAAATTACAAAGTCACGTGATCGTGATTTGGTCTAATTTGAGCTTTTAGCTGGAGCTCAATAATAAATGATATGTTAATAAATATAATAAACTTGAAAGAGCCAATGAGAAGAAAGCATACGTGCTGATTATAAACATCGTTATTATCGTCTTTGACAGCAGATTTGAAAAATGTCTTTAAATAAGCGGCTTAGACGCAGCGTTCACCGGTTAAAGCAGAGAGAGGTGCTGCTGGTTTGAAAGGCAGCAGGGTTCACGGGAAGGCCGAACACCTGAGATTTTCTGAAAGCAAAGAGAAGAAGAAGTAGAAGTAGTAGCAGTTAGTCAGCAGAGGTAACCCGACAGAGGAGTCAGACTGTTTCTTATTAAGAGAAATCGTAAACAGCGAGCATACAGCAAAACTTCAAGATGATCGAGATGATCAAAGGCAATCATGCCGAGTCCACACACACACACACACACACACACACACACACACACACACACACACACAGTGCTTTCAGACAAACTGCCGGGGTTTCTGTGGGACGGCAGCAGCTGAAGCCAGCGTCTTGGCTGCTTCTTTGGCCTTCTCTGACGCGTCCTTCACTGTGTCCCTGAGCAGCCGCTGGGGCGCCTCTCCTGTGGGAAGAGAGCGAGGGTGAGGCGGGAGAGAATGAGGACGACGGGCATCAGCAACACTGTGAGATCCTTGCTGAGATCAGGATGCTCACTGACACTTCTGTGGCCAACTTTCATGATTTAGTAGCTTGAGAAGTGTGCTGCCTTTTTTTTGCTCTTGTTGTTGTTTTTGGAGCCACCCACAGGAAACAAGCGCACAGAAACACACGCTTTCAAAAATCAAAGAGAATACTTTTACTACAGTGAAGATAAAGTGAGCTCCTCTCCGTGCACTTGTTAACTTTTACCAGACAGTGCTCACTCAGTTCAGCGCTGTTACCAAGTCACACCTAATGATCACAATTGTGACTTTCCTCTAACAGTCATTAAAGGTAAGGAAAGGTAAGGTGACACATACAAAAAATAAATACATATCAACAAGGACCTTTCTAAAAAGGCTTCACTGCTGCAGTGTGCACTCTCATCTGTATGCTGTTAGGAACAGCCTCATACTGGATTTAGCGCCAGGGGCTGCACAGTCTATTTGTGTCTGCCCTGACTATGAACCCCACAACCTCGTGTGAGAACAACAACCTGAGTCACAACAAGACACAGTGATCCCCCTCCCCCCCAAAAACACGAGATGATAAGGAGATACATTTCCTGCGAGTGTGCGTTAGCGCTGTCAAAGGGAAAGGGCTCTTTGTGTGTCTGAATGCTGACAATAACAGCGGGGAGGGACTCCTTACGGTCAAAAACAAAAGTCTCTCACGTTTTTTCAAAGCAGCATTTTTTTAAACAAAGCAAAAATTGCTTATTGGATTTAAATGTAGTAAGCAATATTAAAAAGAAAAAAAAATCCAATCAGCAAACTATAGTGAAATTCACATCAGCAAAGACATGAACTTCTGAGGACGTGTGGTACTCGCATGCCAACTGTCTAAGAAAACGTGTTTTGTATTCCAAGATTGTATCTTATCCTCTGCCCTCAATCCCACTGAGCATCTATAGAAGAAAAAATATAAAAATCACTTTTCTGATGATCGAGTGTGAGCAAACAGAAAGTTTTGCTAAAGGTGGAAACAGATCGAAGCTGAGAGACCGGAAACACGGAGGAACGGGTTGGTTCTGTTCACAGATGTTGTGGAAAATTCCTGGAACCCAAGTGATTTCATCTGAACGCTAAAACTACCAAAGCACCATTGGCAGGCAAGATGGCGGAGTAGAGATGACATCAAGAACAGGCTGTGCAGGTGAATTTTTGCCCCCCCCCCCGGCTCTCTCCCAAATACTGTAAAATGAGACACATGTGAGCAAAAGTATTATTTTGGGGCTCTCCTCAGCTCTTCCCAGGAGGGTGGCACAGTTGCCCCCCTGGTGGTCTTCCTTGGGTCCTCGTATTCTGGGGCCTGGATCTCCTCCATACCTGCTTCATGCCCTGGGGGACGGGGCTATGGCTCCCCACACTCCCTAGCAGATCATTACATGGAGAAACCTTT